TTCGAGCTCTTTCTGAGCGTCTTTGCCGATATCTTTGTAGGTTTCGTGGCCTTAGCGCGTTACGTAAGCGTCGACGAGGGTAGTCCATTCAGGGAGGAAACTTTACACCCTCGCGCAGTGGATTTGCGTTAAGGTGCGTCGCCGCACTGTGGGTCGGGATCGCGGTTGATAGCGAATAAGAGCGCGGAATTTTGGGCCCTGGAAAAAAATGAAGTAGATCAGCGGGCTGATTGTTGGAATTGATAGACATAGCTATAGACAAAGGTGACAAAAAGGATATGGAGGGATCCTATCGGTGGAAGTGGGTGGTTACAATGGACAAAGGAGGTAGGTAACAGATTAACTAACGGCAACCCACAAGAGACCGGATGGTTAGTACCAGATTAGGTAGACCGGGGTATAAAATATTTCTAGTGGGCTGAAGGTAATTTTTGGGCAATTTTACCCTTGAAGAACCCACTTAGTTGGCTGTATCTCTGTGCAACAAACTCCTTTGGAATCCGCGTCGAAGTGCACCAAAATTTGGTGACCTTTTTTTGCTCCATCCAGAAATTCAAGTCTATGTCCGACGTTCCCACCCACCGTATCCACCGTGCGTCGCGGGAAACCGTTGTGCACCGGTGAGATCGAGTTTCACCAGAAAGCTGTGGGTGGTTTCCTATCCATCCGCCCGGATTTCGGCTCCCTCATTTCATCGCTTTTCACCTCAAGCCACCCTTTTAGATGTTTTAACCAGCTTCGAGATCATATTTGTGAACTCTTTGCTTCGAGTCCTGCGTATACGCTTAATCTGCGACAAGGAATTCTGGAGCTCAAAGTCTTTTTATCTTCTTAAAAGCTGCATACTTGAGTTTTCAACTATTCCCGAGTCTCTTGCGTCATAAAATTGTTTCAAAAATTCAATGAAATTTTATTCGATTTCATCGATGAAAATTCAGGAATTCTGATTTCTCAAGAAAGTTGTATTATGTAAAAAAATTCATGAAAAATTCGACTTCATCAATGTAAATTCAGGAATTCTGAAGCTCAAAGCGTGATATTTCCGTATTAATTTTTTTGACGTCTTCTTTTCTTTCTTAAAGTTTCAAAATTGAGTTTTAACATTTTCCTAAGTCTCAAACGCCAAAGAAAAAAATAAAAAGAAAAAAAATCTCATATTTCAAACATTTCATTAAATTTAACTCGATTTCATCGCTAAAATTTCACGAAACTTTGCAGCTCTGTCTGTAAGGCCGTGAGACTAGCCGTAAGGTTACGCAAAAGCAAAGGGTGTTGGTGTTGGAACTGTCAAGGGACGCCTTCACGCGCGAGCGGGATAATCCAGCCAATCATGCATGGCCATGAACTATTTTCGAACGGCAGAAAAGCTCCCAATCGGCTCCTTGCCTCCCGCCTCAACTTGCAACGGCTCTTTCATCCCAGCGCCACGTCACCGAGCGAATTGAACCAGCTCGCCATTGGCCCATTCAAACCGCCCGCGCGAAAATGTTCAGCATGGCTGCAAGGTTGGATTTACGTAGAGTCCCTTTATACTGAGAGTCAAGACAATGTGAATCCATTTCTGATTGGTTCCCGTGTTTTAGGCCTTCGCAGTGTCACAAACGGGAATGAAGATTACATTTTCACCGATTGCAAAGATCATAGTCTGGAATGGACCAGGGAATTACAGGTTCGGCAAGGATCAAACGGAATGAGAGAAGGAACGGAGAGAGGAATTTGAGAATGGGCCGATCAAAGATTACAAAAAACGTTCAATTTCTGTACTCTTTATTCCCGTTTGTGACTCCACGAGGGGTGTTGTCTTGACTCTCAGTATAAAGGGACTCTAGATTTAGGGACCGTCCATGAATTGCGTCATCCAAGTAGAGGAAGGGAGGGAGGGGGGTACTCCAACGGTGGATGACGCTTCCTAAAGCTAGAATTACCTTAAGTGCATGTTTTTTCTTGGTAATTAATTATTTTCTTTTGTCCTTTTTAACGAATAAAATTATTTTTTATCCGTTTTTCTAACGCTCTCTCGTTTTTCGTGTGTTCACAGTCAAGAAGAAAAGCTGCGAAAAAAGTGCGGACTGATAACTTGGACGATTTAAAACAAGAATTGGATATAGATTTTCATAAAATTACAGTTGAAGAATTATATCAGCGATTTAGTACACATCCTGAAACAGTAAGTACCATTTTTTACATAAAATCCCTCCTTCCAATTCGAACGAAACTGTTTACTTGGACCGAGTTCATCAGAAAGGAACCAACCCTCATTAAGTTGAAATAGAGAAAAAGAGGTTTGAAGTTTTTTTCCTCCACAAGGCTAGATGTAGAAAATAGACTTTGACCTCTCTTTTTGCAAACTAATTTCTTTTTTTCGACTTTCAGTTTTTGGCAGGAGAAAATCTGCGGCTAGTTGAACTTGAAAACATCCTTAACTCCATTTTTTCGGAAATGTGGGTTGGTTCCTTTCTGATAAACTTGGTCCACTTATAGGATCCCGTTTTTTTTACTGAAAACTCTCAATGCCGTCAAAATCAATAAAATCTTACACAGTTTGAAAACTGGAGATTTGGATGGAGTGCGTTTTATTGCGTCCAGGTATTATTTAAGAAATAACTCGAAAAAATGCATATTTTTGAAAAAATATCTCTGTGTGGTATGATGCCGTAATTAGACCGATTCACGCAAAAGCAGTCCACCGAACAACCTGCCAACCTGTCCAACCTGCTGTGCCCACATGAATGAGAATCTGGAAAAGAGGCACATAATTATTGTGAGTTTTATAGGATTGAAGTTTTATTGTAGTAGGTTGGACCGCGTTGAGCAGAAAGGAACCAAGCTACATCAGCCATTGCCAAATTTAACTGGACAGTTTAATTTCTAACATGAAAACGTTTATGCGGATTCCTTTGAAAATTGTAAGGAATTCCGTTCGTACTATGCAGAAAATTCACTGAAATTTGCACAAAAATCCACACAGCCGTTTTCATGTAAAACATTAAATTGCTAAATTGAATTTTGCAATAGCTGATGTGGCTTGGTTTCTTTTTGCTTATCGGAGCCCATGATATTATCCATGCTTCACACCTCGAGGAGCACTCCAAAGAACTTACGAAAGTTAGGGAAAATGACGATTGATTGGGAAGAAAGCACAAATTTTTTTCGACAATGCATTTGTCATCGACACCGAAAAAAGTGTCCCCCGAAAATGAGAAAGTGTGGAAAAAGTCAACTGAAGCGTGTAAGTCCCAAAACGCCGTAATCGTGAAATGTCACGTGGAATGTTTCTTGAAATTTCAGGAATATTATCATATGAAAGACATTGAAAGCTATTTATCAAATTTATGATTATCAGCTAATGCTGAATATCTATCAAAACGCTGCCACAAATTGTACAGAGGCATTGTTTTACTAGCTTTTACCGCTCATGTCTCCCATTCAAGGAAAAGAAACAAAAATCCAGAGTTGGATAAAAATATTAAACACATTTTGTGTTGTATGGTATTTTTTTTAGCGCGGGTTGCACTCCCTGCCTCTGAGACAAATGTTTGATTTTTACAAAAACCACAGTCTCGTGAAACTTCTGAAATATTGCACGGTAATATCCAATCTCTCATAACTATCTCTCGTTCTACGCCCCCATCGAATAATCCCGTGCGATCCGAACGATTTCCCGGTGTTTTTTCTAGTTGCCAAAAGGATTCCCTGCCTCTGAGATAAATGTTTGATTTTTTTCAAAAATTACACCGCCTCGTGAAATATCGGAAATATTGTACGGTAATTTATAATCTCCCATAACTGGACCCTATTTTGCAATTTGGACCTATAGATTCTAGCCCGGTTTAAAAACAAGTACGTGCCATTAGTTTTTCTATGCACATAAGTGTTTTTCCAGAAGAGCCAAAATTTATAGTTCCAAATTGCAAAATGCAGTCCAACTATCTCTCGTTCTATGCCCCCCTCGGATAATCCCGTATAACCGCAGTCGAATCCGAACGATTTCCCGGTGTTTTTCCCAGTAGTCAGGAGGGCGGCGCGATTTATTCATAGATCTCTCCCACGGCCTGTAACGCGGCGTTAATTTTTAAGTGGCGCGGTGCCATTTTGATTCCGTATCGTATCGTGTCACCTGTTATGCAGGGGTGAGCCGGTGAGGGTTGTCAACCTCCTCCCCGGCTGCCCTTCACCTTTCGCTGTCGCCATTTGGGTCACTGACTTGGGCACCGCCATCCATCGCCTCATCGGGAACGTAAGACGCTTCGTAACTTTGGAAGTCACGGCTTACCTGGATACACTATCATAATTTGGACTAGGCTTCGCAATATCAGGAACTACTATTTCTGACTCATTTGAGGAGCGACATATGTGCTGTTAGTTTCCCTATGTAGATAGGTGCTTTTACCAGGGTGTCTACGAGTCCGGAATTTCTGGAAAGTCCGGATATAGTACTGATTTTATAAGTGCGGTCATGAAATACTAAAAAAGTGCGGAAATTCCGCAAAAAGGTCCGGAATGTATTTAATTTTTTTGTCACTCTTGTCGCACACTAAGCGAGAAATTCAAATTTTTTTAAATTTTTCGAATTTCGTGAAATAGAGGTACTGAAAAAGTACTAAATTTTTCTGTCGAGGAGATACTGAATATCTTGGAAATGTACTGAAAAAGTAATGTTAAAGTACTGATTTTTGGCCAGCCTGTTTTAGTAGACACCCTGATTCGAGGAGCGACATTTGTTCCGTTAGTTTCCCTATGTAGATAGGTGCTTTTACGCATGATCCAGATATTGTAGTTCCTAATTGCAAAGTGCAGTAATAAGTATGAAAAAAGTATTTCAATTGAAAATATTGCCTCCTCAGACTTTGTAAGTTCCTCTCTTCCGTGGACGGTCACATATCTGTTAGCGCTCCAACTTACTAAGAAAATTCAACCAGATTGTTATTTTACTTGTTTATATGTTTATAATAATGAGGTTTTGGTTTCTCCTGTTTCTCATCCAAATTGTTTGCGTATTTGACTTACGTCATGCTAATTTTGTTACCTAACGCTTCAGCAAGGAAACAATAGACGTTTTTAATCCTTATCACGATTCGCGCTGAATTCGACATGTTTCTCTAAAAGTAAAGTCAAAGATCCAGATAAGCTCTGTTAATTTGCTCTTGAGAAAGGAATTATATAAGCGGATAAGTTAAATATATATTTCACGGAGCGTTACCTTCTGGTCTAATGGATGGCACTTCTAAAAATGTTAATATACAATGCGAAAACCATAAATTACAAAGCACGTAATTATTTTCGTTTGCGTGATTAGCATAAGTAGATTTGGATTGCATTTTGCAATTAGGAAATAATATTGCTGGCTCATTGACATACAACAGCACCTATCTGCACACGGAAACTAATGTCGCATATCGATGGTGAAACTGTAGAAATGCTTCTCTCAGTTTGCAGACTTCCTATCATACTTTATTTGCTCATCTGGAAAACTAATAACCGTAATTTCTCGAAAATTTCCGTGATTTTTCGTCTCTCTGTGAAGAATATCCTGTAAAAAGTTCAAGCCGTGATGTTGGTTTGGTCTCATTTAAAATGATAAATTAGGAGCGGAGATTTTTAAACACAGCCACCGAGATTAGCGTTTATTTTAGAGATTATCGATATTTTCGAAAATATGAACTTTCTAAGTTTCCAGATTTTGTCTGACCTCTCCTACACTGGAAAAAAACCACATTGGATCTAGAGTCCAGACTCTTGAAAACATTGACAAGAAAAAGGACTCTTGATTCAATCAGATTTAAGCTTAAATCAAACGGAAATCCGCTCAAATTAAGAGGCTTGGTTCTTGATTTAAGCTTAAATCTGATTGAATCAGGAGTATTTTTTCTTGTCGATGTTTTTTAGAGTCTGGACTCTAGATCCAATGTGGTTTTTTTTCCAGTGTATGTTGTCTCTCAAACAAGCATATCGACGGTGAAACTACCAAAACACGTATCTCGTTTGCGGTGTTTAAAAATCTACGCTCACATTTTATTTTTTTGAACTAGACCAAATCAATATCATTCCTTGAAATTTTCACGGAATTTTCTCCGCACGAAGAGGAAAAATCACAGAAATTTTCAAGACTGGACGTTAAGTAGTTTTTCATTTAAAAAATAAAGCATGACAGGAAGTCTACGACGTCGCAAACCGAGATACGTGGTTTGGTAGTTTCACCGTCGATATAGCGGTAATTCCTTTTTGCAGAGAGTAGTCCAGTTTGACTTCATTGAACTCAAGGACTTGACAAACGTTAATTCTTGACTTGGACGTATTTCTACCAAACAGACCTATGTGGAGGTGAGAAATATGGGGTGCTCTCGTTAGTTCTCTGGCCGTAAGAGTGAATGAGAATTATAAAGCGCCAGTGACGTCAGCGGCGACGATGGAGACTCCGAGCCGCGGATCCGCGTCTTTAACTCATGAGCCCTGTCCACAACGCTCTCTTGCCATGCCCGCGGCTCATGAGTTCCGCATTCAGTTGGCACATAGGTCTGTCTGATAGAATGTAAAATCCTGCTTTTCCAATTCTTCAAAAGGAATCACGCCCACTTTTACATTGCTTCTTATGCAGCTTTCTGGAGCACACCCCATATTTCTCACCTCCACATAGGTCTGTTTGGTAGAAATACGTCCACTTAAGGGTCGATTCGAAATGTTAGAGTGAAGTTCATACGGCGTTTTTCTTAAGCACGGCGGAATAGGTCGGCTGATTTTTGTTCCTCCGTAGCGCGACATGGTCTTGTGCGTGAGTTTGCTTTGTGATGTGTCTCACGTTTCTGAAATAGAGACTCGCGGCTTACGTCACGCTCAGGGTCCAGAACGCAAAAGCTGCAGTGCCAAGGAAAAACGCCGTATGACCCTTCAGCCGTTGCCAAATTTCCTTTGACAAAGCTCAATTTTTTGGGAAAATTTGCAAGTATTTTTCCATGGAATTTTCGGAATATTTTGTCCGCACTTTAATCTAAAACATCTGAAAATTTCAAGGAAAAATACTCATAACTTTCCTCACAAATAAATTTTTGCCGAGAGGAAATTTGGCAACATTCGAATGCTCATATGACGTTTTTCCTTCTTAGCACGGCATTACTCGTGCGAGGCTCCATTGGGCGCCGCACACTGGACCGAGTCCATAGGAAAAGTCGGACAAAATCTGGAAACTTTGAAAGCTTATATTTTCGAAAATATGAAACAACAAAGTTTAAAAGTTGTCCCATTGGTTTTTTCGTGAAATTTCCTTTCAGAAGCACCCTCTGAAATTGAATTTATGACGAAATAAACACAAAAATTTGACATTTTAGCTAAAAATTTCATGTCCGGCCTCTTCTATTTTTTCGTTCCACTGTTCGCCCTTTGAACCGGCTCGTGCAAAAACAGCCTTTTTTTATCACATTCTTTAAAAAATTCAGGAGTTTATTTCCCCCACAGCTTTGATCAATTAAGAACAATGATTCGAAGATTATTTCTGATGAATGAAGAAAACAAGACTAAAAATTTGGCGCAAACTGTAAGTACAGGATGGTACAATAGTGCTGGGTCTCCACAATTCTGCAGGGAAATCAAAGCCAAGAAATTTTAATTAGAGTCAACGATTCGAGCTCTAATGAGTATCAGTGCGAAACTAAAAGGGTTAATAATTAGAGCTCAATCTTTGACACTAATTTAAATTTTCAGCATTTTTTAGCCTTGATTTCCCTGCAGAATATGGTACGAACTCAGTATTGTTGTTCCATCCTGTACTCCTGATAACAAAGTCGATATCCTTCCTAATTTCTACTCAAAAGAATATACTTTTTGAATTTCAAATCAGAATTTTGATTACTTCTCCGTGAAAAAAATAAAACATGAAAGGAAATTTGGCAAAGTCTGATGTATTTAGACTGAGGTTGGTTAAATCTTTCGATGTTTGGGACTTCAACTAAAAGTATTTTACATTTCTACGTCTTCAACCAACTTTATTTCGTGAGCTGTAATGAAATCGCCTCACGAAATTTCCTGAACTGTGTAAGGCTTCGGAACTTCTCACTGTAGTCGCTTTATAAATCGTCAAGGAACTAATATTTTTGCTTGATTAAGAAATAACGACTTATAACTTCGTGATTTCTCCCTATTAATTGACGTGCTGTAATAATAATATGCCCCCCACTTACGACTTCTTTTTGATCTTTTGGTTGCATGTTGTTATGTTGGTCATGCTCAGAACTCTAACACGTCAATATTGACGTCAGATATCTGACCCTTGGGCAGTGGCAATTTCAGAAGTAAGCAAAACTGGATCTCGTCCATCTAAATTAAATGTTAAAAAATCTATATTTATCGAGATAGGCTGCCTCACCTGGAATCGGTGGTTTTGGCGCGGATTTAAATGTAGAAAATTCAGTGATGCCAACTTTCAAGAATCACTTCCTCAGGGACTGGGGAAGGAGGGCAAACGGAAATACGCTTATCAATGTCAGTTGGTGAGAAATATTGTGTGAAATAAAAGAGAGTTTGGTTAAGAACCCTTAAAATTTAGAGAAGTTTTGCTCTTAGCAATTACGACTTGCAAAAATTATAAGTTGCTAGATTTTTGTAAGAGTATTCCTGAGTTTTTAGGAATATGGTCAAATCGATGTAAAGGAGAATCTTTTTTGTGGCGTCGTTCCCAACGAAGTTCATCGTCTTTAGATTCAACGGTTACCCCACCGTGACGTAATCGCTAAAACCTTTCTTGCATCAAGAGAATTTTACAAGCGCTGCCGTGCTAAGGAAAAACATCGTCCGAAAATTCGGAACGTACCAAATTTCTGCCGGTAAAAAGTTAACTTCAAATAGAGACTTTGCAGATGTCTGAAATTTGATGAATTTCGTGTTCGAGTGGAAATTACAGAGTGAACTGAACACGAGGACACCCTTGGTTCATGAATTGAACAATTATTGGAGAAGATAGGACAAAATGATCTAATCTGCTAAAATACATGTGTTTTAATGGGAAATGCCGTCAGATGACGTCACTAGGCAGTGCATTTTCTCACTTTTCAATTTAATTTATACTATTTCCCATATCAGCAAAAAATTATAAAATATACTTTGAAATCAGCTCTTTAAGCACTTTCAGATGAAGGAATGAAACATTTGCATGCAAATTCTCCATGTATGAATATTTTTCTTTGCATTTTTTGCAGAATCTTTCTCAGAAAATTGGACCGCGTCAAGCAGAAAGGAGCCAAGCCACATCAGTCATTGCCTAATTTATGTGAGCAATTTACTTTTTTATTTGAAAACGGTTGTGCGGATTTTCATGCAAATTTCAGTGAAGTTTCTGCATAGTACGAAGCAAATTCCTTAAAATTTTCTAAGGAATCCGCACAAACGTTCTCTTGTGAAAAATTAAATTGCCCAGTTGAATTTGACAGTAGCTGATGTGGCTCAGTTCCTTTCTACTAAACGCGGTTCAATTAAACCGAAACGTCCGGAAAATTCGAAGAAAAACATTCAGGTTCAGGACCTCTCTCGAAGGTAAACATTTTGTGAGAGGAACAGGGTTGTCGCAGCCAGGAAATACCGGGAAAATCGGGAAACGTCATGGGATTTTTAAAGTCAGGGAAAACCGGGAAATGTCAGAGAAAATGACGAAAATGTTAGGGAAAATTTCTTAAATCACCTTTACTTGCTTTCTAGATTGGGTTTGAGGTTTCGAACAACACATTTTGCCTGAAACTATTTTCAAATATGTCTTCTTAACCACCAGTCGTAGCTTCAATTGTTAGGGAATTTCACCGAAATGTGTCCGAGAAATCGGGGAAATGTCAGGGAATTTCAATTTTTAAATTCTGTGGCAACCCTGTTAAACGTGGTCCAACCGAATTGTGTGGAAAATTCGAAGAAAAATATTCGGGACGTCTGCCTCTCGGAAGTAAAAAAATTGTGAGAAGAAATTCGGCAACGCCACGATGTTCATAAGGCGTTTTTTTTTCTCGGGACGGTAGAGCGAGTGCCGGGTGAAATCGATCCGCTACCGAAACTTAATAATTTTTCGGCCGGGCCGGGGTGAAGCGGGTGCTCCTGACAGCGCCTCACCGATGGCCCATTATGAAGTTCCGGCGGGATTTAAGCCGTATTTAACGGGACCCGGGCCCGGTCTCCGAGCGCCCCGCCGCGCGGCCCAAACGTCTCCCGAGGCCTGGCATTCGAAACTCCTAAACTTCAACCCCCTACCCTCCACCCCCGCCCGTTTTTCCCCGGTTCAACTTTGAATATCCCTCGGAGAGGTGGCTGGTTTTCGGGTCGGATGGCGCCGGCTTGAATTCATCTGGAACCGCAGGGTCGCAGGGTTGCAATTCTGTCTCTCCTCTGGCGGAGTTGAACCAGAAAAACGTCAGAAAATTGTGACTTTCAGCGACTTTTACTGTGTAAAATCGACAAAAATTGACTTTCAGGAACTTTAACGTGAGTAGTCAGGGATATTGTCAGTGAAGTCTGGCAGGGTGTCTACAAGTCCGGTATTTCCGGAAAGTCCGGAAATAGTACCGATTTTTTAAGGGGGGTCCGGAAGTACTGAAAAAGTGCGGAAATTCCGCAATAGGTCCGGCATTTTTTTCAAATTTTTGTCATTTTGGTCGCAATTTGAGCGAGAAATTCAAATTTTTGAAATTGTTCGAATTTAGTCAAATGGAGGTTCTGAAAAAGTACTGAATTTTTCTATTGAGGGAGTTCTGAATTTTTTGGGAATACTTTGAAAAAGTACTGCCAAAGTACTGATTTTTGGCCCGCCTATTTTAGTAGACACCCTGTCTGGGAAAGATAGAGGAATTTGAAATTGTAATAAGCTTGCAACGCTGAACCAAGTATTCAAATTTGGTTAACGGGCAAAGTGAGAGTCAAATATAGGTAGTACTAAAATTATGCTTAGTGGAGCCCAACTTATACGAAACTTCTATCCCATGAGGATAATCACTAATTTACATGAGAGTCTGAATTTCATGTCAGGCATGCAGTTTGTTCACGTACCTAAACTGACTCGCCCTCAATTTCGGAGGTAGGCAAAACGAGCTCCTCCGAGCTGCAATAGTTGTATCTTAACGTGTTTCTGTCCTTGCGCATCGTCCGACGTCGCCTGTTATGTTGGCGCCGCGAATCACGTACCCGACGTCCATGAATCCGCTTCTGTCTACCCTATCAAATGAAGGGGAATCTGTTGATGACACGGTGTCATCAATTCCTGCGTTACGTTGTAATGAATATGTTGCTCACAAATGATATAGCCGGCTGCGTAGACTTTTCGTAGGATTTCCATCGGTTATATGCTACATGAAGACTATAGGAGACAATTATCCAGTTGCAACAGTCACAGAATCTTGCTCTGAGGTTTTAAGCTCATAGATTAGTAAAAAATATTAAGATCCGTCCAAATACTAAGTTTCTACGTCGAATATTACCGGGGCTATCGATCGTCGAAAAACACGGAGTATCACTTCATCCACCACGGTTGTGCACACCATCAGGGTGTCTAGCATCAGGAGAAACCGGAAAATATCAGGAATTTTGGCCGATCAGGAAAAAATCAGGAAAATCGGAAAAATCGGACGTTTTATCAGGAATTTTTCTTACGCGAATCTCCTCAGCGGAGAAAGTCTCACTGCTGTTTGCCTACCGTGCCCGGAGTCGAGAAAAATCAGGAAAATATCAGGAATTTTCAAAATTGAAAAATACTAGAGACACCCTGACCATGGTTTAAAGGTGAAAGAAATCATAGTATGCACCGCTGCGGAGGATGATAGGTTTTCTGGAGTGTGATACCTTCGTTAATATTGGACTTGAAACTTGGCGTTTGAACAGGTCCGATTTTTTCTTTGCTACTTTATGAGCTTGAATCGCCAAAACACGATTCTGTAATTGGTGCAAATACCATTATATTTTTACCCACCGCATGAGATTCAAATGCATCGGTAATTGGTCGATTCTAGTTTTTAATCAATTTGGTTTTTGCGTCTGTTTCAGGGTCTTACACATGCGAAAGCAAAAGAAAATTTGGAACGAGATGGTCCCAACGCCCTTACCCCTCCTAAAACAACGCCCGAATGGGTGAAATTTTGTAAGCAACTTTTTGGTGGTTTCGCCATGTTACTATGGATCGGAGCATTCCTTTGTTTCATTGCTTATGGTATTGAAAGTTCTACGATAGAAGAACCAGCAGATGATAATGTAAGTTTATCATACCTTATATCCTTTTCCCAAAGCTAATGTAAACTAAGTAAGTGTTAGTAATGCAATAATTTTTATGATTCATTCAAAAGAAGTTGCTTACAACCAGTCACTGTTTAACACCTATTTGGATTTTAAATAAAATCTCATTGCATTTTGATGCTTGCCTTAAAAGAGGTGCTTATTTAAAAAAGGTAGCAAGTGGGAATTTTCGCAAAATCGAGTTGCAGGCGGAAAAATAATCCTCTTTTACCTCTAATGTAGTTCTTCTTGTCTCCCAAAATGTATTTCTTTCAGAGGTGGCACCTTTTCAAAATGAGCGCTTCACTTGTGCAACCAGTTTTAGTATAAGTTTGACAGAGTAGGGTCTAAAGTCCCAGGACTTCGAAAAAAAGTGGAAGAAAGAATTACACTTGATTTTCAAATAGTGCAAGACTTACACATAAATACAATTTTTAGTTACTGAACAAAATAAAAAAAAATCTTTAATAATTCTAACATAAAGCAGTAAAAAGCTCCTGCTATGTTTTGAGAAAAAGAAACTATCTTGAAAATCAAAGAAAAGCGTGGAAAAAGCAGTCAATCAGTATTACTCCATGGTAAAAACTGAGGGAAAATTCAGTGAATTTTTAACACACGCATATTTTGAATTTTCTTGTCCCCCTGTCAAAATTCTTGAATGGTGCTTACTTTCTTTATCTTACTCCTGTGCTTCATTATCAGAACTTGAATTTCGAGCTCTACATGTCTCTTGAAAAATATTTTCATGTCTATCATCCCTAGAAAGTCAGGAAAAAGTGAGGAAATTTTAAAATTAAAGGAAATGTAGGTTGCTCTGTTTACAAAAAACCAGAGTAATGCACATTTGTTAGAAATCTCCGAAAAAGATCGGAAGGAAGAAAATCTGTATTCCTTTTTTATCCAAACACTATTGAACACTTGCTGGACCATTCAGTCGAGTGTAAGTTAAAAGCTCCTCTGACGAGTGGATTTTGTGAAGACCATGAGTTATTCTAGTGCTACATGCATTTTTATGAGCTTTTCACTTTAAAGGGTTTCAGCTCATTTGCAAAGTAGTTTTAATTGAATGTTTTGTCTCTCTATAATTATGTGGTTGTGCCAGCAAGGTGCATGATTGATGCCAGTTGATGGGCTTCTTATAGAAGCCTTACAAACATCTCCTATGCACTTTTCTCTACGTTTTGCTCCATCTCTTTGCAGGGTGACAAGTTCTTGAAAAGTCATCGGAAACTTGAAAAAGTTAGGGAATTTCGCTCATCTCTGAAAAGGCAGGGAATTTTGTTGCACAACCTCGCAATCCTCAATTGTGGTCGAGAAATTCAATTTTTTTTTCACTGCACCCACACTCTTCAACGAAAATTTGAACCGCTACCCTTAAGTTCTTGAACCTTAGATTGTGTACTAAAAAGTGTACTAATGATTATTCTGTTTGTTTGTTCACAGTTATATCTTGGTATAGTATTAACAGCTGTAGTTATTGTAACTGGTATTTTCTCATATTATCAAGAAGCTAAATCTTCTGCCATTATGGATTCTTTCAAAAATTTAGTTCCACAGGTAAACTATGTTTTCATGTTTTTTCCTTTCTTTTTTTTTAAATAATAATAAGCTTCACAACACTGCCTTTGATATATCTCACCATAAAATGAAAGGAATGATACAGATGATGCAGTTATCAACATTCAGCACCATTCATTATCATTTGAAACTAAGTTGTATCAAGAAGATCAGATTCTTTTCCGAAAACTTGTTTTTTTTCTTACCAATACTTTTATTGAACTGTAATAGCCTCCTTATTTTACCTACTGGCAAACAATTTTCCCATAATTGCAACTAGAAAACACTTGTTTAATGGAATCACTTCATCGTGACTCTTGAAGGTCTTTAAATAATTTAAAAAACAAATGGTATTTTATAGAAATTCTTGCCAATACCATACTTCTAACCCTTCAATACAAAATTTTTGCTCACAAGAAATTAATTGACTGTGTAGCTTAAAAGTATAGCTCCATTGATTAGATATAAGACCTTTTGAATTTTGGCTCTATTTGTTGATTTCCAGTCGAAAGAACGTAAATTCAATCCATTGTTCCAAAATGGACGTCAACGGCTCTATCAATTAAAATGACTTGGCAATTTTAATCCAAAATGTTTCTGATTTTTGCTTGTAATTAGAAGGAAAATCAGTATAATTTTCCGTTAGACATATTGATTACTGCAATGAATTGTGGGAACATACTCCATCCCCATTTCAAAAATAAATTAAATAAAATATAGTACATGATTTAGCTGCAAGATTTTTGAAAGTTGTGCGGAGTTTGTTGTACAGAAACTTATTGGACAAAAATCCCCCATGGAGACAAGACTTGAAGTACTTAAATCATTTACTTTATTCATAGAGGAAGTACAGAATCGCTTTGTGTCCCCTGAGCTATGTACAGCATATCTTAATATCACCGAGATCAGTTCAAGTGATGTTCGACTGTCTGAGGCTTTTAGATGTTTAGAGAAATATAAGTGTTTGGTTTGCTCCTAAAAACATCTTTCTATAATTGGCTATTCTTTGTTTACAGTTTGCAACAGTTCTTAGGCAAGGAGAAAAATTAACGCTCCGAGCAGAAGATATAGTTCTAGGTGATGTTGTTGAAGTTAAGTTTGGAGATCGTATTCCTGCCGATATTCGAATTATAGAATCTAGAGGTTTTAAAGTTGACAATTCATCACTGACTGGAGAATCAGAGCCGCAAAGTAGGGGTGTTGATTTCACGCACGAAAACCCACTGGAAACGAAAAATTTAGCTTTCTTCTCAACGAATGCTGTTGAAGGTACGATTATTTTCTCCATTGTTATTTATAAAACACTAAAAACAGCTTTTGAGCTTAGAAATGATCACTCGAGTAGATGAAGTGTGATAAAACAAATCATCTGCATAAATAATGGCTTAGTTATTGAACTATGCTTTTTTGTATTCCCATGATCTTTCTTTCCTAATTCAACATGAAAATATCATAATATATCGTTCGTACAATGAATTCTTCCCTGAAAATACTCAGTGACTGGAATTTTTTAAGGAAGTCCCAAGGAAACTTAATATTAATCACATATCAAAACAAGTTCAACATGTTGGAAAAGTGTATCGATTTATCCAGAGAGCAGTGCGAATATTGACTAAAAACTTTTCCTTTTTTTGGAAAAAAAAAATTTTTAGAGTCCATACCGAATGAATGTACACTCTTTTAGAGTGGAACTGAAGATCAGCTGTCTTCAACTTAGCATTGAAAGTAAATACAAGAATAAAGATGACGGATCCTCTATCGCATTTTGGAAGTGTGTAAACTTATTAGGCATAGACCAATAGGTTACAATTCCATGCGGAGGTAGAATGATGAAAAATTGTTCTAGAATATTGAAAAATCAATCAATGAGTCGTTGGAAATAGAATTGTTCAATTATGTGTAAAGTATAATTTCTTTTTCAGTTTCAATTCTATGTTCTAAAGCCCTATCGATTTTTTATATTGGTTAATTTTAACAATGTAAAAACTAATTAATCGTCTGATTTTGTCTGCAGGCACTGCCAAAGGAGTCGTTATTAGCTGTGGTGACAACACTGTGATGGGTCGTATCGCTGGTCTGGCGTCAGGTTTGGACACCGGTGAAACTCCCATTGCCAAAGAAATCAACCATTTCATCCATTTGATCACTGGTGTTGCTGTGTTTTTGGGTGTATCCTTCTTCACTATTGCTTTTATTTTGGGCTACCATTGGCTCGAGGCTGTGATTTTCCTTATTGGTAAGTCCCTTTGCTATCAGCTAGCAGCGCACCAGTCGCAAAAACAATACATGTATTTCAGCCAGTATGTGCTCAAAACTTAAATTCTTATTATATTCTCTATTGTTGCACCAATCAGCAGTGCCTTAGGGAGAGAGGGATGAATAAGGGCGTTACACCATTTTCTACTTATTAAAGGATAGAAATACGTTACAAGGGGAGGCGGGGGGGTGTCAAAAATTCTGGAAAAGTGCGTAACATAATTTATTAATGCTCCTTTGAGAGAAACCTGTGCTCAAATGAGCTTTTTCCCTTAATATTAAGAATTTCAGTTTTGCACTAAATTTTAGCAAACTTGGCTAAATTATCAGCGATGTTTTTGACATTCTAATACACACAAACAACAAATGCCTAAATAGTTGTCTTAATGGCAATAATTTTTTGTTGATACAATTCCAGCTAAGTCTCTTTCATACTCCTACCCGGGATTGATTTTAAAGGATAAAAATGAAGAAAATCACATTTGTAATAGCAGATCATTACACGCAGTTAGAAATTAAGCACTGCTGGACTTTTTTTTCTCATCAAAATTTTACGCTAAAAATGGCAGACACAATGGACCACACAACTTTAAATTTTCTGTTTATAATGTAAACTACCAACAAGTATTTCTCTCTTATGAGTTAATTTTGGAAGTATTTGATGTGCTCAACATGTTCTAAGTAATATTTTGATGAGAGAGCGTGTGCTTTAGTGGTTACTTTTTTACCTTGTCCAGTTTTGTATTGAATTTTCACTGATAAATGCAAAACTAGTGTTTATCATTATTGGTCAATTTCAATCTTTGGAAAAAGTCATATCATTATCGATAGTCAAATTTTGTATTTCAGAAATTTTCATCACAAAAGACATTTTAAACATTTATGAATTTCGTGATTTATTCATTTTCTAAAAAGGAAAATCTCACAGTGTAATAGCATGAACTTTGTCATTCTTAAAACATCTAACAAATTGACTATTTTGTTGTTTTCAGGTATCATTGTAGCCAATGTGCCCGAAGGTCTGCTCGCTACTGTCACAGTGTGTCTGACTTTGACAGCCAAGCGAATGGCATCCAAGAACTGTTTGGTCAAGAACTTGGAAGCTGTAGAAACCTTGGGTTCTACATCTACCATCTGCTCAGATAAGACTGGTACCTTAACACAAAATCGAATGACTGTTGCTCACATGTGGTTCGACAACCAAATTATTGAAGCTGACACAACTGAGGATCAATCAGGTATAAACGCAAGTTAGACTTTTCTTGTTAGGAAAAGTAAACAACTTTTTATTGTAAGAAAACATAAAAATTCAGAGGGAAAAAATAGGAACTGCTTCGACTGCATTAGATAAATAGAATCAACAAGGAAAACACACGTGATTAATGAACTACTTGCTTATTTATTTAAAACAATTTTTTCGGATTAGATTTGGGCTTATAGCTTATCTTAGGTTGTGATAATTTGCGTTTATTGCTGAAGGTGGGCTACGTGCTCGAAATTGGTCAGGAAAAATTGTTCTAAACGAAGGTGCGAGTGGGTAATTGATCATATATATATTTTCCTTGTCAACTTTTTATTGTATGAGCGGATATTTGCTGCATTCAGACTGAAGATGCTTAGCTTAGTGGATTTTGCATCGAAATAAATATTGATATATTTATTTTGAATGAAGACACTCTGAAAAAATATCAAAATATGCCATTTTTAAGGGCAAAAGTGGTTTTTTGCAAACATAATATAGTTTTGTAAGAAAGAACTGATCATGAATTTTTGTAAATCATGAACAAAGGCTTTTTGAATTTACAAAAGGGAATCTTTGACACTTTCTGCACCTCTAAGATTACGCTGAGTTGATGAATCAGGCTTTGGTTTTCCAATGACTACTCTGTAGTGTCGTCATGGTCAACCAGAAATTCATTCATAATTATTGAAAATTGTAACAACTGTCTTTTTATGACAAAGCTTTACTGCAACTATATGTCTCTCTGTAATTTTGGAAATTGTTTACTTTTTAATACATAGTTAATCGTCCACTTTTCTGTTCCAGGAGTTCAATATGATCGCACAAGTCCAGGGTTCAAAGCTCTTGCACGGATTGCAACTCTATGTAACAGAGCGGAATTCAAACCTGGTCAGGAAGGTGTTTCAATTCTAAAGAAGTAAGTTAGCTCTATTATTAGTATACTACTTAATATTAGCAAAGCATTGAGCATATCTTACAGCCATGGAAACGAGAGAATTGAAAGAAAACAGCATAGTATTTTGTTTGAATAAACTTTCCAAGGCGTAGGATCAAATGGACAGCATTTTGCAATTAGGAACTATAAATTCCGGCCCAGTTTAAAAACAACGTATGTGCCATTAGTTTCCCTATGCACATAAGTGTTTTTTCAGGTGAGGCAGAATTTATAGATCCAAATTGCAAAATGCAGTCCAAATAGAGATAAACTCTCTCAGTTGTTTGAGCATGAAAAATCAATCATGAAGGCAGGCGAGCTGGAACCGAGGAAAAATTTCTCCTTTACATGCCAAGAAAAACAGGAATCAATGAATAATTGTTTTTTCCATGCCCTATTTTTAGAGTTTCTTGGATTGTCGTAACAAACATATCTGAAAAGCATAAATGTGAAAAATGTGGAAGAGAGGGATATTTTTTATTGGAAAATATCTTTGATGACCGTTGAATTTGCTTTCTTTTCATGCATTTTGATAAATTGCCGTTTGAATTCAGGAAAAATGTAGAAAAGTTGGGACATTTTTTTTAATTCTAAAGACACTTTGGTCACTCAAATTTAATGATCAGAAAAATCATGCTCTGATAATACCAAAATTGTCTTTAGGTGCTCCTTTGTTTAAAATTTCCTATACTGGTGTGTGGTAGCATCCAGCATTCAATTTCCGAAGTAAATGGTTCATTGCATAATAATTTTGTCATAACTGAATCATTAATTTTAGAACCCTGGCGACTAAACGATTAATTTTACTTTTACAGAGAAGTCAATGGTGATGCATCAGAAGCTGCTCTTCTTAAATGTATGGAACTGGCTCTCGGAGACGTTATGTCCATCAGGAGGAGGAACCGTAAAGTCTGTGAAATTCCTTTCAACTCTACGAACAAATATCAGGTGATTGAGCCGTTTCCAACTTGAAATTATTCTCGTTTCATTAGACTGTAGAAGTGTGCATTATACCAAGGCCAATAATTTTTGTCACTTTGTTGTGCAAAACAATCGTGAAAATTCAATAATTAATCTTGATGATTCTCGTTGCACCCAGCAAAATGTAAAATTGTTCCAAGAAATAACAGTTCTTGGAATTTAGTTTTCAAAGGCAGGTTTTGCACCACACCCTCTTTCTATCTGATGAAAGTCCAATTGAAAAATGTGAAAAACGAAACTCATTCAATGATGCCAAAAATTGATTAACATTGAAAACTTCCTGCTTAATTTTATTTAAAGTCAAGAAAACCAACTGCTTTTATTTCCGGAATCTTCTATGGGTATACTATCTTAATTTCATGCAAAATCATTAAACGAGAAAAATGGAAAAAACTGTGTTCGGCATGCGATCAATCTTTTAAGCCCAAATAATTCATATAAAATAATTCTCCCGGCTGTATGAAAACAATGTTTGAGCCTGTCACTGCAGCATATGTCATGTCTATTTCTATTCGACCATAATCTGCCAAAAAGTCAAAATCCAAAATTTTGATGCTTTGGGCTTTAAGAAAGAAATCAGTTCAATTGGAACCTGTAATTTTTGAGTTTCTCCATCATTCTGTGTGAGAAACTCTGTTTTACAACATTTTTAGAAAGATTTTACTTTTTACCAAACCTCTGTTGGTTCCCTTTTGTATTTTTCATCCTATATTCAGTCCTCTAATTTGTTTTATTGCATTCTCACGCTGTAGGTATCTATTCATGAAACTGAAGATGCCAATGATCCTCGACACTTGATGGTCATGAAGGGAGCTCCCGAAAGGATATTGGACAAGTGCTCAACCATTTTCATCGGAGGCAAAGAGAAATTATTGGACGAGGAAATGAAGGAAGCCTTCAACAATGCTTACCTTGAGCTTGGAGGTCTTGGTGAACGTGTGTTAGGTAAGTTTCCCTTTATTTACGAGTCTTTGCAGTCATTTTGCTCCAAAAAATGTGTCAGTCTCATGTGTTTATCACGACAAGTAACTAACACTCCTTCACACTGTTTAATTTTTAGCATAAGTTGATGTGACAAAGGAAACATTTCTCCCCTCCATTCTGAAAAAATTAAGACAAGAGTCTACACTTTAATCATGTAAGGTTAAAAATATTAATTTATATGAACTTTAAGAATGATAAGGCAAAATTAAATTCTGCAATTCGGTAAACTAAATTACAGACAACAAAATCGGGCAAAAATTGGAAACATACATTTCAAAAACTCACATTTATGGAATTTATTGAAGGGGCATTCAGAACAAGAGTAGATGCTTATTTGAGGGCTGATCATAAAAACTTATGTCAGAACAGCAAGAAATCAAAAGTCGACTATTACACGTGGCAAATATGGCTGTCTTATCTTATCTTGCTGACAAAGCAAAAAATTGTTCAACAGTTGGCCCACGAATGTTACTAATATTTTATATCCTTGCACTTGTTTTACCATAGCAAATATTAGCCTAGATTTTCAATTTTGAATCTGCTAAACTAAGCATGTTTAACTATTTTTTAATTTTTCCTTGACAATTTCGTTTGGCAGGTTTCTGCGACTTCATGCTCCCGTCTGACAAATTCCCTCTGGGCTTCAAATTCGACTGTGATGACCCCAACTTCCCACTGAGCGGCATGCGTTTTGTTGGTTTGATGTCCATGATTGACCCACCGAGAGCTGCCGTCCCAGACGCTGTAGCCAAGTGTCGCTCAGCCGGAATCAAAGTTATCATGGTCACTGGTGATCATCCTATCACTGCCAAAGCTATCGCCAAATCTGTCGGTATTATTTCCGAAGGTATGTTTTAGACTATTTTGTATGCTTTTGTTTCACAATATTCATGGAAGCCTAAAAAACTCCTCAAATTTCAAATCTGGTAGTAAATAATGCTGTACCTCATGTCGAAATGAAATTAATCAGTAGATTGAAACATCATCTCATTGACACTAGGTGATTTATTTTGTAAGATTTTCCTCTAAATTCAGATGGAGTTTCATTTTTAGGGCTAAAAAGTGAAGTCTAAGCAGCATCTACTGTGTTAACAAGTAGTGGTATGAAGTGAGGGCCTTGCTGACCACCGAAGCGCTTGTATGCAACCTAGACAAGTGGCAGAAACCCTGCTGTTGCTCACCTGAAAGTTGGGTCATCCTCCTCAACTCGTGACAGTGACATATCATATTCCTGCAAAACTCAACAGCTGTCTAGTAAACCAATGATAGATTGCACCAACAACTCTTGCGGATGCCATAGAGCGTAGAATTTTTTGGAGCATGGTCTTGCCTTTACCAAGTTTGGCTTTGTTGTTTCAATCTCCTATTAATAGGTAGCACTTGCAAACAGTCATAAGAAGACCAGAACCAATTTCGGCTTAAAGAACATGAGGAAACATTAAGGTTGTAAAGAACTAAAATCAAAGAAATAAATCAGCTCCAGTAAATAAAAATTGTTGTGAATAATAATTTTGACAAGATATTTAGGGCTCATGATGATCATTGCAACTAGCAATTTACAAGCAGAGCAGTAATAAAGTGCCTCTTCTCATACTTTTCAATTTTCCTCGTCTAAATTTGTGTATGATTCTTTCCTCTGTATTCAGGTAATGAAACCGTCGAAGACATTGCTCAAAGACTGAACATTCCTGTATCAGAAGTTAACCCTCGTGAAGCTAAAGCTGCTGTTGTTCATGGATCTGAACTGCGTGATCTGTCACCTGAACTGTTGGACGAAATCTTAAGGTAAATATCTGTTAAATCATGCAAGAATGAGAGAAATGGATTTTCTCAGAGAGGCATGTAGATAACGGACAAATCATCAGTTTGTAATATGATGGATTGTAATTATGGATTAGCATTTTGGCACTCTCTGCCCCTCTTAAATCATGCACCATTTGATGCTTTGATTAAGTGGTTGTAAAAGTATTAGAGTCATATGTGATGATTTCAAGCCGTTTCCCTCAAATATCATGTATGTTTCTGAGTAAGCTTATGCATTGAGTATTTTGTCCATATTCAGGTACCACACGGAAATCGTTTTCGCCAGAACTTCTCCGCAGCAAAAATTGATCATTGTTGAAGGTTGCCAACGCATGGGTGCCATCGTAGCTGTGACTGGTGATGGTGTCAATGACTCGCCAGCCTTGAAGAAAGCCGATATTGGTAAAATCTTTTCAACGTTTAATTCATTATTAAGTCTTGAGATATTATATATTATTATAGATATATATATTAGTCTTTGAGACTAGCTAACATGGCCACCTGGTCATGTGACTATTCAACAAAGCAGGGGCACATCAGGAAGTATTTAAGGAACATTCAAGTCAAGAGAGGAAAATTAAGATTCATCAGGATCTGTCCTGAAAAAGGGAGCAGGTGTTCTGAAACACATTCGCTTTCATCTGGTTCAAGATTTTTGTTTTTTTATTTCTATTTTACCTGTTTTAACGCTTGATCTTTTAAAGTTCAACTTGAGAAAAATTTGAAGAAAATCTTCCTGTACCTTTGCCGTTTAAAATGGCCGAGCAAAACTAGGAATTATCATCATCGGGAAAGTATAATCAGCTCCCAGCCCATACATTCTTCATGAAAGCCATTACATGCCCTCTAGTGGAAAAAAATATTTTATAACTTGAACATTTAAGAGCCATTTTATTTTAACTTCGCAGGTGTTGCCATGGGTATTGCTGGTTCTGACGTATCAAAGCAAGCCGCTGACATGATCTTGTTGGATGATAACTTTGCCTCCATCGTTACTGGAGTGGAAGAGGGACGACTGATTTTTGACAATTTGAAGAAATCCATTGCATACACACTGACCTCTAATATTCCCGAAATCTCGCCATTCTTGGCATTTGTACTGCTGGACATTCCATTGCCTTTGGGTGTTGTCACTATTCTGTGCATTGACTTGGGAACTGACATGGTAAGTTTCAAATTCCTTAAATACGTATTTTATCTGTTAATATACTTTAAGCCTGTGTGTCAGATAACAAACTTTCTTCTGTCAAAACACAGGTTTTCTAGATACCTCTACAATTATAATTAATTAAATTTTATTTCAGGAGCAGGAAAACTAATTTGTTGAATTCTAAATCATTTTTTAAACTTTTTTATGCAGGCTTACTGTCACGGACTTTTTTTTACTTATTTTATTTTAGAGTTAGCTTTCCCTCTCTTGAACGTATTGTATTGTTGTGTACTTAAGTCCCATAGTTGCCAGAGAGAGCTGAAAAATCAGCACTTTCCCCCATTTAAATCTACTTACATTATCCATAATCTATTCCACAATCTGGCAGCCGTGTTAAGTCCCAACATTAATTTTCGTTTTGTTTGATGAGAGTTTGAGTGATAATATTCATCCTGTCCTAAAACAATGTCTGATGAGACAAAATGTCAAAGGCTCTGTGCATATTGGGTGAAAAAATGACCAGAACGCAATTATGTGAAATGCTGATAATCATGCTGAGCGTTAGATTCACAAGGCAGTTAATTAACAAATTTTTGCTATCATTTCGAGGAGTAAAATTATTTAATAATTTGGCAATGTACCAATGGCTTTTGTTATTTTGAGAAGTGAAAAATGTTGAAAAAAATTAACATCATATCAGTATCAAGGCTTTAATGGCGCGTAGGAAGTGGAATTTGATTTTAATCTGACTTAAGAACAAAACAACACAATATTTATTCCTCTATTTTTTTCCCCCAAATTTTCATGTTTCAAACTCAAGCTTTTGTGAGTTTGTGCTGTATGGGGCTAGTTATTTTTAATTATAAATGGCGCCAAAAGAAAATGGCTGCCCTCATTTATACTGAAGTTGTTTATTTTGACAGAAGTATTTGCTCACTTTTATAACATTTTCAAGTATAGATTCGATGTTTACTAAAGTAAATGTCAGAGCATTACGGCTGAGCATTCAGGGTTTTTATGACCAAGAAATATATTCATAGAATGAATTACTTTTTTCAAGGTGCCAGCCATATCATTAGCTTACGAAAAGGCCGAGACTGATATAATGCAAAGACCTCCAAGAAATCCACACACAGATAAATTAGTGAACTCGAGGTACCAGATTTCAGTATTGTATGGGGCTCATAGCTTCCGATAACTAACATTCAAAAATTTTTTGTGCTGAAATCCATAATTTGGTTATTAACAATCAGTATTGATTATTTCGATTGCAAGGAGTGTAACGTAACGTATTTAGTATTTGAAAAGTGTTTTTGAAGATTTTGCAGTTTCTGTCTCGTCTCGTCTTAATCTATTAAATGTTGACAAGATTTTGCTTTTTTTCCATTTTCAGTGAATTGGTGTTAATTTGCTTTGTTTAGTCTGAAATTTAACGGGAAACAGCCGAACTACGTGAGTTGTTGCCTGATTTCCCCTTATGTTTTATTTATTCAAGCAAAAACTAAGCAACATTCTGTCTTGATTTTGTGTGTGTGTATTATGTATGATCCAAGGCAATTTGTTGTTTAGTTCTTTGCTAAAAAGAAAATAAAACATGAGAGAAAATTAGACACTGTGAAATGCAGTCAGACTGTTTCCAGTTGAAGTCTTCCCAATGCAACTCCAAATTAACTTACAATGCTGGGTTTCCCATGTGTTATTTGTTCGTTTATACAACCATTTATTCATTTTTACAATGGCTAAACTCCAAAAATGCTTACTCCATTATCATGTTGTAAAGTTCATGTCATACCTTAATTTTGATAAGTAGATAACAAACTGTCACATTTTTTTTGAAATATCCAATAATTTTCTCCACCGAATGGAGAATACCCTGTAAATGTTTTGAAGAATAAAGTTGTTTTTTTTTTTTCATCTGTTTGTTTAAAAAATAAACTAGGAGGAAAAATGAATGATTTATTCAGTACTCGTATTTTCAGAGTTTAGCTACAGCCAATTTAGTCTGCTAAAATTCAACAAATACCAGTCTGGCCATCTTATCAAAATGCGGTTTTTTTCTGCTTTGCGCCATTACCTGATATCATAAATTGTATCTCATGATTTCTACACCAGTTCTGTTGCAAGTTTCCCCTCGCAACTTTCTTTTCAAGAATATTATCTTGCACAAATTAGTGTATCGAAACTGTAATCAGAGATCATCTGAGTCCAGCTCTAGTGATCTACCATTACCCATCCTGTGCAAATGGAGAAAAATTTCTCTTGGGCAATTCTGAGTCGTTTAATCTCATCAAGAAATTGACTATGTATTCCCGGCTAAAAAATATGCACAGTTTTTAAAAAGCATAGCAAAAATTACCGTCTCTAAATAATTCAGGGGAACCCAACATTACATTTTTCTGTTTTGTATTTTATTTTTGTTTTTTTTTAATATTCATGCGTATTTGTTTTTTACTAATCTCATTTTTTTTGTCTAATTTTATGGAAAAGGCAGTGACTGAATTAAAGTTGATAGATCCAGGGTAGCTTACAAGTATCTTTGTGATTCCTTGGTGGGTGATCATTTGCTTGCCTCTGCTGTATCTACAGCTTGAGCCGTGTCTTTCTGCATTCGTCAGATTATTCTAATGTAGACATAATCTTATGATATGTCCAAAAATCTAGACTTGTTCATAGAGTCAGTGTTACTAAAAATAGGGAAGATTGTCACGAGAAGAGAAGTAATATCTCTCAAGCTCTTGTAGACTGACTTGGATCTGTTAATTTTGGGCTGAACTTTGAAACAAAAAAAATTTAAGGCAATTTACTACAACTGAGGAATGAAGCATTCTTATTAAACTTTCATTTATACTTAATTCCCCACAGATTTCATTTCTGAGTTCATTTGTACCTAAGGTCACATAATTCAATTTGCACTTTTTTCCCCTTTAAATCTGCCGGGAGGAAGGGGGACTGCCTTAAGGAGTTGATTGAGCGAGTTTCAGTATATTCTACGCCAGAATGGGCCTCTATACGAGATATGAATTAAAGTACCATGCATCTTGTTTTCTCTTCCAAAAATCACAAGGAGAATGAGTCACACAACGCAAAGTCTGGAAATCAATTCATAAACAAGACAAAAGTTTACAATTAACACTTGTTAAATGGCAAAATTACAAATAACTTCGTTTGTGTAATCCAACTTCCATTTGAGCTGTGTTAAAAATACTTGTTTATATCTCATCTGAACTTCTTGTATGAATTGTTTTCCGCATAAGATTTTGAAGAGAAAACATGTGATGTCTCTATCCAGTTCAGATCTTACCTAGTGGCCTATTTAGCACAATTTACCTCTTCAAAATGAAAAAATGCTGCAATCAGCCTATTTGACATTTCCATATGGTAATATTGTGATCTGTCACAATTTTCTGTGGCTAACTGCCTCCAAAACTAATTCATTCAATTCATAGCAGGGCTTTCAGCAAAATTTGAGACTTAAGTTCAACTTTTGGGAACTTGCAATGTGTACTAATATTGTGATGTCCTTACATGTATCACTAGTGCAAGCAGTGTTCTATCTTCACCAAGCATTTTTTCGCTGATTCCTGGCAAAAATCTGATATTAGGATTTAAAGGAAGAACTAATTGTTCTAGATTTAGTAGTTAGAAATTTATCTTGCTATAGAAGAAGCTATGAACTCGCTAAAAGTGAAATTTTAACACTGATTGCAAGGATCTTACATGGGTGCCAAAGCTGACAGCCAGTTCTAAATCCTACAAGTTACCCCTCATCTTTTATCCATACCCACAATTTTTTTTATTTTTTATTTTTTCACAATGTCATTTTGCCATTTCCTCTATTTTCTGTTTTTGTCACTACGCTCTCACTACTATCATATTTGTGAGCATTATCACTCGACTAGTTACGTCTCGTCTGCTTGTTTTACCCATTCATTATTCATGAATAATCATTCTGTGTGTACGTAGTTCGGTGTTTAATCTCATTGAAGCAAGTGCCTCTTTCATTTTTCTTGTCTCTTTCGTCATCTTTGCATGTCGCTCAAAGTACTGGGAAGGATAAGAGCATGAGGTATGCTCTCCTCCCTCTTACATACTCCTCTCAAGGCAACTTTACAGAATTTTTTTTTCTTTCTTTCTTTTTTTCCCCAACGCAATGATCACCTGACAGGGTTGGAATACCTGCGGTGTGTGTTTTCCTTTCAAATTCCCAGGCAAAACACTGTGGACACATAGGAACTTTCATTATGTGATAGTTGTCATTTTTACTTGGAACTTTCAGTGGAAAATTATAGAGTGAGAGAGGGAGAGGTATCGCAGCAAAGCCTGATTTGTTTATTGCCAAACTCAAACACTTCTTTATAATAGCTGTTCTGACCAATATTGATTCCAGTTTTTCAGTGTAAAGTACAATTTCTAACTCATGAGAAATTTTCAATATGTCCACTGTTCTCAGTGATTTTTTGATGTAGAAACATTCTTTGCAGTATTTAAATCCTAACTCTGTTCCTCGGACCATTTTAAAAGCAATAGAGTTTTTGATGCTACATTTCATAAAATTATCTCTTGATTATCGTGTTTCTAAATCTCTCACAACTCTAAAATTTTTTCATCATGAATAACAAATCTGCATATTTGTTTGAAATTATCTGAGCATAATCTCAATCAAATCCAGAGAAGCTTTGAAAACATAATATTAATTAGTTCAGGGGACGGAAAATTGTTTTCTTCTCTGTGCCGATTATTTTTAAAGGAACGCATGATAATGACTCCAGTTTAAAATTGCAACTTAATGCTGCATTGAGTTAGGCATTCTCATAAAATTCTCGCCACTTGTTTTTAGGGGATTGAATGATCTTTAAATCCCAAATCTTCGGTTTTCCAATTTTTCATATTTCATTTTCAGTTTTATGCTACCTAAAGAAGCACTATTAGTGGAATTTTTTTAGTTTATAGACTTAAGAACTTGAGAGAGAGAACTCTTGAGTTAGTGAGGCTTTTGCCATAGAGATCGAAATTAG